CTGGGGTTGTAGCTCAGTGGTAGTGTGCTCGCCTATCATGCACAAGGCATTGGGTTCGATCCTCAGTACCACATAAGTGTAAAATAAAGATATTGTGTCCACCTAAAACTAAAAAAATATATATATTTAAATTTAAAAAAATTATCAAATACAAAAGTAATCCAGCGTCTGGGTGGTCAAAACAGTAAAGTATATGATGATTTAAGACAAAAACGAATTACTTATGAACCAGTTATTCATTCAACAGATAATTTAATTATAAGAAAAATTTCCTACTTTTATAGTTTTTTTTTAACTTTTTGCTTTTTTTTCTTTCTTATACCAAGGATCAAACCCAGGGCACTTAACCACTGAGCCACATCCTTATCTCCTTTTAATTTTGATCTTTTTTTTTTTTTTAATTTTTCTGTAGTTATAGATGGACAGGATTCCTTTATTTTATTTGTTTCATTTTTATGTGGTGCTAAGGATCGAACCCAGTGCCTCACACATGCTAGGCAAGTTTTCTGCCACTGAGCCATAGCCCCAGTCCTGTTTTTGATTTGAGACAGGGGCTTTCTATATTGCACAGGCTAGCTTTGAATTTTTGTTCCTCCTGTCTCAGTCTGCTGAGTCTCTGAGATTACAGATGTGTACCACTGCACCCAGCTTTTGCTTTTTTAAAAAGTCTTCTTCCCTTTTTTCAGTATAATTGCCAGCATATATCTCTAGTATTAAATTAAACTTGCAATCAATTTATGTGATACAAAGAAAAATGAGCCAGATGTGGTGATGCATTGTAATCCCAGTAGCTCAAGGGGCAGAGGCAGGAGGATCTCAAATTCAAAGCCAGCCTCAGCAAATTAATAAGGCCCTAAGCAACTTAGCAAGACCCTGTCTGAAAATAAAAAATAAGAAGTGCTGGGGAGATGGCTGGGACTCAATTGCTAAGCATCGCTGGGTTTAATCCTCAGTACCAAAAAAAAAAAAGAAGAAGAAGAAAAAGAAAAGAAAGGTGCCTGGAATTTGAAACAGAAAATACCTAACTTAATACCTCACCTTTGGTTCTTATTGTTTTTGAGACCTACAAATCAAGTAAAATACTTGAGCTATATTTTCTTTTCTGTAAAATGAGATTGGTAGGAGAATTCAGCCCCTGGGTTTGTTGTAAGAATTCAGCATTAAATGACATAATGTGAAAATTAAATGAGATATAAAACTAACTTTATAAACTGTAAACCATAAGCAAATTTCTTTTTTTTTTTTTTTTTTTTTGTGCTGGGGATTGAACCCAGGGCCTTGTGCGTGCTAGGCAAGCACTCTCCCAACTGAGCTATAAACCCAACCCCATAAGCAAATTTAACTTACTAAAAATTATCAGAAAAGGAACATGGGAAATCTGTTTTATTTCTTACAAAAGCATGTGAATCAAGAATTATCTCAAAAATCATAATTTTTAAAAAGAGTTATAAGAACATCGTGGCTGGGGTGGTAGCTCGGTGGTAGAGTGCTTGCCTAGCATGTGTGAAGCATGAGGTTCAATTCTCAGCACTACATATAAATAAGTAAAATAAAGGTCCATTGACAATTAAAAAAAAAGAGAGAGAGAGAGAGTTATAAGAACATATCCCTAAAAAGAAATATTGATTGCTTTTAAAAGAGAATGAGGGGGCTGGGGTTGTGGCTCAGAGGCAGAGTGCTCGCCTAGCATGCTTGAGGCACTGGGTTCTATCCTTAGCACCACATAAAAATAAAATAGGGATATTGTTTCCACCTATAACTAAAGGATAAATATTTAAAAAGAGAGAATGCCCTCTGGGCTGGGGATATGGTAGAGCACTTTCCTGGCATGTGAAAAGACCTGGATCCCCAGATCCAGAAAACTTTCTAAAACATTAATTAAAAAAAAAAAAAAAAAGCATTTAAGAGAATGTCCTCTTTATAAAATTCCTCAACATTAGACAACATTTCTGTCTACTAAGATGTCAAAGTATTAACAAAAAGGTGTATGCATTCTTTTTTTTACTCTTGGTACTAGGGATTGAACCCAGGGGTTCACTACCACTGAGGAGCTCCATCCCCACTGGCTCCCCACTCTTTTTTTTTTTTTTTTTTTGGAGACAGGATCTTGCTAAGTCACTAAGGCTGACAGGGATTATAATCAGGCATTTGCCACCATACCTAAATGATTTTTAGTCCTTTCTGTTCTGGATACTGTGTGGTTACTAGATAAATGAATCAAAGCAGCTGGATTAAATTGAACCTCAGGTGAAGTTTGACCTTAGGGAAGTAGAAGAGATGGAAGAATCAAATCAAGAGATATGGAAACAATGGAGAATTTATTTTAGTTTTATGTTGGGTTTCACAAGTTGGACAGGCCCTGAAATCCATAGGTGACTATGACTTCTATAAATTGTTTAATGTGTGGGATCAGTTATCAAAACTGACAAGAAATGAAACCATTTCTATTTTTATCAACACAGAAAACGTGTATAGATACCCTGAGATTGTCCATTTGTGAGGTAAGGCATAAAGAGACTACATGTATGTTGTGGTTTTTGTTTTTGTTTTTGTTTTTTTTTTTTTAGTTGTTGATGCATCATTATTTTATTTATTTATTTATTTATATGTGGTGCTAAGGATCAAACCCAGTGCCTCACACATGCTAGGCAAATGCTCTGCCAAGCCACAACCCAGCCCATGTGTTTATTTTTAATTGGGACAACCTTTGTTTTTACAATAGTGATAGGAAATTTTTTTCTTTTTTATACCAGGGGTTGAACCCAGAGGCACTTAACCACTGAGCCACATCCCCAGCCCTTTTTAGTTTTGAGACAGGGTCTCACTAAATTGCTTATGTTGGCTTTGAACTTGCAATCTTCCTGCCTCAGCCTCCTAAGCCACTGGGATTATAGGGATGCACCCATGCCCAGCTAGGAACTCATATTTTACAGAAGAAAAGTCATGGAACTAAAAACTTTCAACTACATTTCTGTTATTTCTTCCTAACTGCTCTGCTTATCAATATGTGCAGTATTTCTCTAGTAGTTATGAATTGGATACCCATAAACTATTTTCATTATTTCTTAACTTGGATTATATGATAGTGTCACGACCCCCTTGCCCGCAAGGAAGACGCGACTCAGGAATCTTCTTTCAGCAGTTTATTCAGGCCC